GACTCGATTATGCATATGTATTGTCACGAAATCTCTACAACAGCAGTAAGCACTCTCTTCTTAAATAACTTTTACCAAGAGCCTCTGGATTTATTTCACACTGATAGAAATGAAACTATTTTGTGAACACATAAGTAACAACATTCTATATCCAGATAGTGTTTTTCAGTTTATAATCACTCCTTTGACCACAAAACTGCTCTATGTTATGGGTAAAGTGGAAAACAATTTTATTTTACTGATGTTAGATCGAGGACCCTGGCTCCTGCCTGCTTTTCCAGGCTATGCCACTCCACACTCCCCTTGTTTACGACGTCTGAACCAGCCTGACAGCCCTCTGTTCCTCAGATCCACACACTTCATCTGACCCCAGGGCCTTTGGGCTAACAATTCCTTTTTCATCATGCTTTTCCTTCTTCTTTGTCTTCTACCTCTCTCTCTCTCTTTCTCCTTCCTTCCTTCTTTCCTTCTTCCCTTCCTCCTTCCCTTTCTCCCTCTCTCTCTTCCTTTTCTCCTTCCTTCCTTCCTTCCTTCTTTCCTTCCTTCCTTCCTTCCTTCCTTTCTTTTTTAGGTTTTTACCATAGGCATACATACTTGTAGGAGAGAGACAAAGAGAGAAAAAGTGACAAATCATTCCACAGGGTCGATGGCCACGCTGCAGTCCCTTCTCCTCCATTCTCCTCTCTTGGGATTTTTGGCATGCATGCACACATGCCTGGTGTGAGTCTCAATCTGCTGGGTCTGAGACTTGAACCAGTCAACCGTGTGGAAGTCCAATGCCTTAACCACCATGCCACCTGCTGGCCACTGCTTTTCCTTCTTTTAACACACTGAACTCACTGTACTTGTAAACTGGTTTAGTCTCTCAAAATGATCACCTAGGGGAGGTGCACACTTCTTTCTTTTCTTTTTTTTCGTTACTCATGATATAAATTATGTTTAGGCATATAGGAATGAGAGAGAGCGAGCACGAGAGCGAGAGTGAGAGAGAGAGATCCTCCATGGGGTCTGGACATGGGCCACCCCCTTTCAGTCTTCTAGCCAGTCATATTTTGGGCACTTGCATATGTGTCTAATGTGGCTCGGGCTGCCTGGGCCAGGGATTCAACACTCGGTCACCATGTGGGATCCAGCTCCTCTTGGGTAGCACGCTATAGCCTCGCCACAGGACTGGCTCCTCTCTGCTTACTTGGTGCTGCTGTCGATACTACACTTACACTCTTGTCGCTCTCATGCAAGCAGCTTTGAGAGTTACCCCCCTCCCCCCAGGGGATACATGCACTTGCCAGAAAGAGGGAAAGTGAGAAAGCACTCCCCATGGGGCATAGCCGTGCTACAATCTCTTCTCTTCTGTTTCTCCCTCCTGTCGGGATTTGGGTGCACACACACACACACACACACATGCACACACATGCACACACCTATTGATATTATGTTTTTCGAGTCACCAGGTCTGAGGTCTCCAGCCATGGGCTCTGCAATGTAGAATCCGACTAACTTAATTGACAGGTCACTGGCTTTACCTTTATAATCTATTTATGAGCTGGATCATAAAGCCCGTTTAGATACCTTATACACACTTTTTAAACATTTTTAAAACATTTTTGCCATAGGGCTTTTGCACTCACTAAAGAGACACAAAGAGAGAGGGAAAGTGAGAAATCCCCCTGGGGGGGGGTGGGCAGCCACTTTCTGATTGCCACTCTTCCATTCTCTTCTTGGGATTTTGGGCATGCACACACATGCACCCAGCGTGTTTTCCAAGCCATTGGGTCCAGGACTTGAACAGCACAGTTGGCCATGTGGGATCCAGCTGCCTTAACCCCCATGCCATCTGCTTGCCTGAGAAACAACTTTGGATCATCTTCAAAGGAATGAACCATGGATTGCGAAGATTGAAACATGAACCTCTGAAATGTTTCAGACAAATGCAATATTGTTGGAATAAATGCACATTCTCCTAATGTAACTCACTCAAATGATCAGATAAGTTTATCAGAAAAGCAGCCTCATTGTTTTAGTCACATCTATGGACACACTGCTAAGATGACTCTAAAAAAACCCTCTTTTTACTTAAACATATAATCAATAAAGTCAAACTGCTTACACTTTAAACACACACACACACACACACACACACACATAAAAGCAGCTATGCTAGTGAGATCCATCCAAGCTTGACTACAGAACCCAGTAAAATTCTGTAAAACTCGGTGTCACTTTTATTATCCTATCTTGATCTCACTGCGTACAAGACAAATACAGGATAAGAATTCTTTAACTGGGGCCAGCAGATGAACTCCCACATGGCTGACCGCAGTTCAAATCCTGGACCTGGTGGCCTAAAAATCATGCCAGGCATATATATGCGAGTGCCCAAGATCCCAGGAAGAGAATAGAAGAGAAGGGGGTGTGGTGTGGACAGCCCACATAGGCAGAGTGATTTTTCACTTTCCCTCTCACTGTCTCTGTCTCTGTCTCTGTCTTGTGCAACCACACATGTCCTAAAGCAAAAACCTAAAAAACAAAAAGAGAATTTTTTGTTTTGTCACTGGTCATTATTGACTAATCAAAATAAAGGATTGTATCTATTCCTTGGGTGACTATCTATTGCCATTTTTCTTTTCTTTTTTTTTTTTTTTGCTTGAGAGATATTTTTGCTGTAGGGTCTGTGTACTCGCCAGAGACACAGAGAGAGACGGAGAGACAGAAAGTGAGAAATCACCCATTTGAATGATTGGATATGACTGCACTACAATCCTTTCTCTGCCAATCTCCTCTTGGGATTTTGGGCATGCACGCCCGGCATAAATTTTTTTTTTTTTGAGAGGTTTTTGCTATAGGGTGCGTGTGCTCACCAGACAGACAGACAGAGACAGAGAGACAGAAAGCAAGAAATCACCCCCCGGGGGGATGACCACGCCACAATTCCTTCTCCTCCATTCTCCTCTTGGGATCTTGGGCACACACACACATGCCTGGCATGAGTTTCAGCCACCGGTTCCAGGCCACGAACCGCAGTCGACTATGTGGGAGTCCAGCGACATAGCCATTATGCTAACTACTGGTCCCCTATCGGCATAAATTTTAAGCCACCTGGTCTGGGATTCAAACTGTGGGACTTGACCATGGTCGACTATGTGGGAGTCCAACGATGTAACCATTACATCATCTGCTGGTCCCTCTCTTTTGCATTTTGTAAATGACATTTTAACTCCCACTTATGTCACTTCCTACTAACAAATAGCAAAGAAATCAAAGAAGACTGATCCTGAGAAAATTAAATAGTTTGATTTTGTCTTTATTTGCCTGAAAATGAATGTTAATAATTAAGCAAATCAACATAAACAAGACATTTTTATGTTTTATGAGTTTTAATATAGGTCATATAGACAATAAAAAATTGAAATAATGGCACAACCAATTGTTCAAAAGGAATATTCATCAAACAACGTTATTGGAACAGAGTTGACCTGTTTATCCAACTTAACTTCAGTATCTGGGACATGGGAGGATTAGTGGAACTTGTGCTCCGGGGTTTCAGATCCCGCAGGTTCGTCTTTCTCCTAAATTTGGTAACAGTACCTTACACATGGTGGCCTCAGTGTAGAACGCTGAATATGAGGCTGACTTAGAATAAAGGGAAATGTTTTTCTAGAAAAATAGCCTGGGAGGAAAGACATTTGTTTCTAAGATCTAATTATCAGCTGTTGTCTTAAAGCTTCAAAATTAACGATCCTTTTAACTTTTTTTCATTCTAGCAAGTGTCTAATTGAGCCTTGGCAAGTTCACTGACTTTACGATATTACTGGCAGCAAACCCCACATGTTAACTAGACCCATGCACACACACAAATTTCCTTCTCCTTGTTTAAAATCTCCTGCCTGCTAACTCGGTGAAATTCTCCAAATATTTATGATTTAGGAAAATAATGTATATTATCCTTCTCTATAAGATTTACTTGGTGAACTTTTCTTAGTATATTTTCACTCATCTCATTTTTTTCAGAGTATTAGGTAGCAGTGGGCTTTGGCTCTGTGTGAACACTGCCTCAAATAATTGGTTCCAGTGATTGGCTGTGGCAGCAGAGCATAACATAATGTAGGCGGGGAATCCTTGAGGAAAGCACATACAGACAATTCAAGAAAATGCACCCAATTTGATGTAGAGTCTTCGCGACTTCCTTCATGTTAGTGTAGAAAATCTGTGTGTATGTGTGTGTGTGTATGTGTTTGTGTGTGTGTGTATGGCTACAGGGAACCAGTTCTATTCATGTGTATAATCCAAGGGGCTACTTAAAGGTGTGGAAAGAAGATTAGTGTGGGATATATTGGTTTTAATTTTTGATCATTTGCCACATTGCACAAAATAATTCATTTAAATCCTTTGGTTTATTAGTTTCTTTATTGGTTAAATTCATATTAACTACTTTACAGGTTGTTACCCAAATTATGTAATGGAATATAAACAGACTTTAAATGCTACTACTGCTTTTGTATTTAAATTTTCTTGATGAAAAAAAGTTCATATCAGACATCCTCACTTAGATATTTTTGAGTAAAATATTTTCAAAATATATAGATTCTAGAATAGCTGTATTTAAAAATATTTTTCCAGAAGATGTATGCACTTGTTGGAGAGTAATAGAGAAGGAGGAAATGAGAAAGCACCCCTTCTTGGGGAATGGTCGTGCCACAACCCCTTCTCCATTTCTCCCTGCCTTCCAGATTTTGGTCATGCACGCATATGTGTCCTGTGTGTTTCTTAAGCTGCTGAGTCCAGGACTGGAAACTATGTAGTTGGCCATGTGGGATACAGTTGCCATAAGTGCTAGGACAGGGACTGACCCTAGAATTTCCATCCTTACCCTTGCATTGAAACACTTTATCTTAGCATTTAATTCACATAACTCAAAGAAAAATAAGCATTTTCAATAAACAAAAAAGAAATACAATTTTTTATCATTGTTGCAATTTAAAACATAGGTTAAAAAAGCAAAACTAATCAAACAACCTTCTAAGAAAGGATTTTTTGGCAGGGGTCAAGATTTTCCCAGAGCCTTTTTTGCGGAGGGATTTCATTGGAGGATTTTTTAAGGGTAGGACTCTCTTGGGAGTTTGTAATGATCTTGCTATCTCGACATGCTCATTGCAGTAATACCGGTTGCTTCCTGCTGATGAGCGTGTGTTCTGCCAGATCCATGCACTGGGCATGGACCCAGTGCCCATCTCCATGAGAACAGTAGATCATGGCAGGTTTGTTGAGCTCAGTTGAATAGAATGGGACCCAAGTGTTGATATCCACATCACAAGTAGGACAGCATATAATCCAGTAGCCTGTCTCCGACTCATCTTCCTCATCATCCTCATTGTAGGTGTCAAATTCATCATCTCCATCAAAACTATTTGCTTCTGCGCTGAAACAAAATTCTTCTGAGTCTTCGAAGGGAGTGGAGTCCCCTGGGTCTTCTGTTGATGTCTGACTGTTTGTGACTGTTTTCTGATCATCAGTCACATCGTCGGCACATTTCAACAAATAAAAATAGAACGCTTCTGAAAGAGCCTGCTTATTGTCTCCTGGTATGCCAAGGAAAACAGATCCATTCCCCATGTTGCTTCCAAACCATAACTTGCTGTGCTTAATATCTGGGGTCCAATCTGGGGTCTCCATCTCACGAATTTCTATCTTGTTGTCTTCTAAGGAGACAATGTTGCAGACCATTCTTTTCTGATTTTCAAGTTGATAGCCACCAACAATAGCAAATTCATCATTGTTAATTTTTGTCAAAATTGCACTGGAGACAGAGATTCCTCCTGGCAAGACTGTACAATTTATAGCTGGGCTACCCAAAGGGAGATCGACCTGTATTCTGTACAGGTTGGCAGGGCGGACATTATTGGCAAGTGAATGTCCTCCTAATATATAAATAGTATCGTTTCTGGCAATAGAGACATGAAAAGACAACCCGTCTTGAAGTTCTGGAAGAATGTATGATGTTACACATCCAAATTCAAAATCTACCAAGAATACATAGGGTAGGCAGTCAGCTACGCTATTCCATTTTTCTGTGGTTCTTTGGCTAGAAGGCATGTATGACCGTCCTCCAAAGAGAACACCCATACTTCTCCCTCGACTACACACCACATCAATGGAATGACCATATCTGGCTTCAGGAACATCACCTACCAAGTCTTTCTCAGTGCAGCGAAAAGTAACTTTTTTGTTGTTCTTACAAACAATAGACATGACATAAATCTTATCTGAAAGCTCATTATTTGGTGTTTTCCCTCCATGGATGATATACTGATGCTTCTCAGACTCCAAGCCATTTTTGAATTCACAGATGGCTGGGTAGCGAAGAGGAGGAAGGTAGCATGAATCCTTAGAGAAAACTGCAGGCTTCAGTTTGAGATTGTTCTGCTTCACATCAAAATGGAAAACTCCAGTGGGGCAAGATCTCTTGGGCCAGCCTTTTTGGCCAAAGAAGAAAACTTGCCCATCAAAATGCATCAGTGAGAATCCTGGCTGAATCAAGGCTATGTTGTTGCTAACTGTTACCGTGTGCAGGGACATATTTTCTGATGGTGGATAGATCTTTTATCTGAAAGAATTACAAAATAAAATGGCTTAAAGTATCGCTATATAAACCAGTGTATTAAGACTCACACAAGTAAGAATAGTTAAAAAAAAAAAAAAATTCCTCCCATAACTTGAAGTGGGACTGAGTGAGCAAAATCCAGGGAACTCGGAACCACAGAACCTTCCTGCCGGATGCGCTCCAGGCAGTTGGGACATGTTTTAGAATGGACTAACTGCCCTTAGATTTCTGGGAATTGTAGTCCTTTTCCTGACTGCGTCACCACGCACCAGCCGAAAGAACTACACTTCCCAGAAGCCCGTTGTGTAACGGATGTGTAGCTACGGAAAGTTTTGGCTCCAGAGAGCGGGCTCCTAGGAAGTGTCTCCGAGTAAAGACGCCAGAGGTGCGAAGTGACTAGATGGAGCCAAGGCGGAGAGCTAGGGAGTGGGAGGTGAGAGTGACCGACCAGACCGAGCTCCCGGGCCCGGAAAGCTGCGCGCCCGCAGCGGGGTCGGGCCCAGCCCTGTCCGGGTGTTGCTGGAGCTCCCCTCGTGACGCCCCAGGGGGCCACTCTGGCCAGAGTGCGGTGGCTTGGAGCCCGCAGGCCGGAGGGGCGCCACGGACGCGCCGTCCCGAAGGACCCTTGCTTGGAGGCGTCTGAGCTCGGCTCAGAGTCACAGCCCTGGGATCCTCGGATTGCGGGGCAGTTCGAGGGGCCGTCGAGCTTCCCAAGGCTGTGACACTCTTACAGGACTCTGAGTAGTAACCCGGAGTGCAGGGGATCATGGCCTGGGGATGGCTTTTAGCACGTCTGCACTAATAAGGCAACACGCGGCGCTGGCTCGTCCACAGCGAAGGCCGTGTTTCTCAAGCGCGTTCTCCTGTGTGCGAGTGGGAAGATTCCTGAGCCCAGCTCGGGGATTCTGGGTGCTAGGGGTGCTGGAATGATTTAGGTTATCGTATTCGTATTCTGACAGGAAAGGTATTGTATTTACCAGGTAAAGTACAGTTGATGAAACATTATCACCTACCTTAGAGGGCCAAGAAATACACCTGCCCTTTGCGGAGTGAAGCCTTGGGCACCAACTGTTAAAGGAAACAAAATAGTTCAGATGTTTTCACTTTTTTTCTTTCCCCCCAGAAGCAGTGAGGAAGAGAAAAGCACCCCTCATCAGGCTCTCATCATGTCACTAGCTTTTCCCAGTCCAGTTTTCTATCATCTCAGGATCCTGGGCACAGGCCCTTTGGTCAGGTGTGTCTCTCAAACCACTGGGCCAGGACTTGAGCTGCAGTTGGCCACATGGAATCCAGCTTCCTCTATAGGCAGGCCCCCAGATTCCATGGCTTCCAAGAGCCAGTCCTCACTGTGCCTCAAAAGCAATAGGGTCCTGGCTCTGCTGCTACCAGCATGATGTTGCACACGCCATTTCACTTCTCTGTGCCTCGGTTTCTCGGCTGTAAAGTGGGAGTAATTTTACCTGCCTAGTAGGTTGCCGTACAATGAGTAATTCATGTAAAGCACACAGCAAATGATAGTTAATCACTGATCTTGAACTTACCAAAAGTGAGGTGGTCAGTGCATGCTTACCTCCAGTAAGGCAGCTGCCGGAGAGGACCAGAAGGCGCTCTCCAGCCTAGAAATCTGGTCACTGTGTGGAGATGGATAAGCCTGTGAAGGTGCTGGTCATGAATTCACCTGAATTAGCAGGTATTTCATTTTTCTGTCACCCTATCTTTTTCTTTTTCTTTCTTTTTTTTGGGAGAGGTTTTTGCCATAGGGTGCGTGCGCTCGCCAGAATGACAGAGAGAGACAGAGAGACAGAAAGCGAGAAATCACCCCCAGGGGGGATGGGCACACCGCAGTCCCTTCTCCTCCATTCTCCTCTCGGGATCTTGGGCACGCACGCACACACGCCCGGCGTGAGTTTTAAGCCACCGGGTCCAGGACACGAACCGTGGTCGACCATATGGGAGTCTAGCTACATAGCCATTATGCTAACTGCTGGTCCCCTGTCACCGTATCTCTAACCCTCTAAGTATGCAGCCTCTGAAGTCGGATTCTCTGAATGCAGATTTGGGCCCCAACAGTGAGTTGTGTAACTGCGTTGGGCAAATTACGTTCTGGCCTTTTTTATCTGTGAAATGGGGATAACGGTATTAATTCTTTAGGTTCTTTTTGAAAAATGGGATAACATTTGTAAATCACATACCCCAGTTACTGGCACATAAAAACAAATGTTAGCTGATGCCATGACTAATTTATGCTTTATTTTGTTTTTTTGAGAGATTTTTGCTATAGGGTGCATGTGCTCGCCAGAGAGACAGTGGGAAATCACCTCCTGGGTGGAAGGGGTGGCCACACTGCAGTCCTTTCTCTTCCACTCTCCCCTCGGGATCTTGGGCACACATGCGCCTGGAGTGAGTTTTAAGCCACTAGGTCCGGGAGTTGAACTGCAGTCAACCAAGTGGGAATTCATTAATGTCACCATTATGCCATCTGGTCATCCCACCATGATTTATTTTTTATTCTCCCTGAAAACATTCCCTGGAGCATTTAGAATCTGAGGTCACTCTGATGAGATGTTGGTGGGATTTGCTGGTTTTTTTTTTTTTTTTTGACTTGAAGCACTTTTAAGTCAGGTATAATTAATTGTTAATCTTTTGTATTTATGATTTCTCATTTACTTGGGAGATTCCTCAAGATGTGTTTTTTTTTTTTTTTTTTTTCCTAGTTTTGCCATAGGGCATGTGTGCTTGCCAGAAAGAGAGAAGAAAAGGGAAAGTGAGAGCTCACCTCCCAGGGGAGAATGACCACTGCAATCCCTTCCCCTCCACCGTCCTGTCAGGATTTTGGTAACCCACTCCCCCATACCCAGCTTGTTTTTCAACCCTGGGTCCAAGACTTGAACCGTGCTGTTGGCTATGTGGTATCCATTCACCTTAACCACCACACCACCTGCTAACTTAAGTTGTGTTCTTTTTTATTTTTTAAGAGGTTTTCATCTTAGGGCATTTGTGCTTAGGACATGTCTCTCTCTCTCTCTGAGATAGACAGAGACAGTGAGAGGGAAAGTGAGAAATCATTCCCCACGGGGATAGCCACACCACAGTCCCCTCTCTTTTATTCTCTTGGGATCTTGGGTACAACATGTACACATGCCTGGCACTGAGGGTTTTTTTTTTAATAGAGAGTTTTTTTTTTTTTTTTGCTATAGGGTGTATATGCTCACTGGAGAGACAGAGAGACATAGACAGCAAGAAATCACCCCCCAAGGGGATAACAATGCCTCAATCCATTCTCCCGTCTGTATTTTGGGCACTCAAGCACACGTGCCTAAAATGAGTTTTAAGCCTCTGGGTTCGGGACTGGAGCCACAGTCAACTATGTGGGAGTCCCGTGATATAACGATTACACCATCTGCTGGTCCCCCGAGGGTGTTTTTAAGTCACCAGGTCTGTACTGCGGTTGACCATGTAGGAGTCCAGCATCGTAACCGCTTCACCGTCTGCTGGCCCCCAAGAAGTCCTCTTTTAAAAATCATCTGGTGGGGGGACCAGCAGATGGTGTGACAGTTGTGTTGCTGGACTCCCTCATGGCTGACTGCATTTTGAATCAGGGACCCAGTGGCTAAAAACTCATGGCAAGTACATGTGTATTCCTGCCCAAGATCCCAGGAGGAGAACAGGGGAAGGGATTGCAGCATGGCCATCCCCCCGGGGGTTGGTTTCTCACTTCTGTCTCTCTCTGGTGAGCACATGTGTCCTATAGCAAAACAAAGAAACAAACAAAACTCTCCTAAATAAATTAAAAATCTTGTGGGTTATTAAACCAAGTGAGAAAATGGTGACTAAGGATTACCAAGCTTAGGAAAGCAAGCTTCTCTCCTCCTTAGCCCACAGTGGTTTGGAGATTCAGCAGTTCACCTTGCTTTTGAAATAATCTGGGCCAGGGTGTTCTTCATTCATGGCCTGTCTGGGTATCCCGTAAGAGAAGGCATCTGGGCCAGAAAGTGCTGTCTGTAGGAACTGATAGGAAGTATTGCCGGCTTGAGTTCAGCAAGTGAGAGCCCCAGGTGACTTGTCCAGCACGATGAGTGCTTATTCTGAGAGTGGCATCATTTTGGAGGGAGGGCACACCAAAACCAAGGCCTGCTCATTTCAGACACCCGCAAGGCCTGCGAGTGGCATGGAGAGTAAGCCATACCAGGATCCACATCCAAAGGGGTTTAAGAACGGTTGCTTTCAAACAGATGATTATTGTAGATAAACAAGCGTTTTCTGTTTGATGCTTGGGAAGATTGTCTTATTTTTAGCTTATTCCGGGTCCCTAAAGATTTTTGAATAAGAGTTGTTTTTAAAAATTTTTAATTGCGAGAGAATTTGTGTGCATGCCAGAGAAAGAGAGACAGAGGCAGGAGCAGGGGAGGGAGAGGAAGAAAGCACCCCTAAGGGGCCTGGTTATGCTACATTCCCTTCTCCATTTCTCCTTGTCAGGATTTGGGGTACACTCTCATCCACCGAGGCTGGGACTCAAACTGAGCTGGCCATGTGGGACCTGGCCACCCTTAACTAGGAGGCTGCAGGTGGCCCAGAAGGTGTTTGACTGATGGCTTCCTTCAGAACCTCAGGGCCCTGAAAGCCAGGGTGAAGTTTATCACTGCTTAGATGGGAGATTTCCTATTGTAACACACTCAAGTATTTGTGCAATTAATTTTTAGCTTACTGATTTTAACCAGATGATTTATGTATTTAAAGAATAAACAGGAGTATCGACAGTGTTTTCACATTATTTTGCCACTATTATTTAGTTTTTGAAATCTTTTACTTACTTGAATATGTTTTCCATGGAGTAGAATATTCTACCTCTTCCATGGTTTTAACCGAACTATGTTAATCACATTTTGGTTTCAAAAGATTCTACTCTATCTAAAGTAACCTGAAGTGTGGTTCTTTAAATAGACAAGATAAAGCAGGCACATTTTAATAAATAAGACATTGTTCTGTAACTGAAGGATGTTTCAAAGTCAGCACAGTAAAGATTCCTTTTAAAAGACAGAAATATAGACAATAAACGTGCAGTTTCCCCAGCCGCGTGTGAACACTCCTCAGCAGGGCCGTCCTCATTTATTCTCTGTGAAGCCAGGGCTTCACAGGATGGTTGGGGATCAGAAGAGGACTAATGGTGTGAGGGCTGGGCTGGCTTGTAGTTTCCTCATCTGAACTGACTTTTTTTTCTTTCCGAAGAAACATGCTGAACTTGGAAGCATTGAATCTTACTGATCATTGTGGCCCAGGTTTTCTTGGTTGTTCCAAAAAGCAAGTAACCTCGTGTAACCCCCGGCCGCTGGTGTGAGCTGCCACTATCTTGCATGGTTAGTCAGGTTTGAGCCATACGTGATTTGATTTTTACTGGCAGTAAAGCCAGGATTAGGGCTCTCTTCCCACGCCATGTTGGAGAAGCATTTATGTACTAAGATTAAGATTAACTAGTGCTCTGTAGACAGAGGAGTCAAGTCCCTGCAACAGCCTGAGAATGGAAAGTTCGACATCACCCACTCACCTTCTAGACACCCCATCCACCTATTCCCTGGAAGTTTAAATATGGTATTGGACCTACCTGAAGGCCAGAGGGGCTGCTCACCCCTCTCTGAATCTTTGCTGCTAAGCCAGGTATTAAAGGGCAGCCCTCGGGAGGGTTCGCTGTGCCACGGTGACTGCCAGGCAGAGGCTGACAGTAAAGAGCCCTGAGTGCTAGCAGATGTTCTGGTGAGCCCTGGTCTAACAGGAGTAACTGACTGTGACCTTTCTTTTTTTTCTCTTTAGATTGTGAGGAAGATAGCCACTAGGGTGTATCCTGGAGACCGCTTAACTGTTTCATTACTAGCAACAATGGAAACAATTCGCTATTCACTTACAAAGACAAAAACAGTTTAGCTGGACCTTGATTTCTTTCTTTTTTTTTGAGAGCGGTTTTTGCTATAAGGTGTGTGTGCTCACCAGAGAGACAGAGAAAGACGGACAGTGAGAAATCATCCCCCCCAAGGGGGATGGCCATGCCTCAGTCCCTTCTCCACTCTCCTTTCAGATTTTTGGGCATGGATGCACACATGCTAGGCATCAGTTTCAAGCTGCTGGGTTCGGTACTTGAACTGGTCAGCCATGTAGTAGTCCAGCACTTTAACCACAACGACACCTGCTAGCTCCCAGAACTTGATTTCTTAAAGCATTTTAGGAAAACACAGGAGAAGCTAATATGATTACTGAAGTTTAAAGAAATATTATTGTGGGGCTGGCCCCGTAGCCTAGAGGTTAAGGAAGCTAGTTCCACATGGTCCATTGCAAATCACAGTTCAAATCCCAGCCCAGGGACTTGAGAAACGTGTATGTGTGTGTGTGCACACGTGCACGCATGCATGCATGTTTCCGTGCACATATGTGTGCCCCAAATCCCAACAAAATGAGGAAATGGAGGAGGAAGGATTGTTGTATTACTGTACCCCATTGGGGGGTACTTTGTCTTATACAATGTGATGTGTCAATCTCTCTGATGAGCACACATACTCTCTACTAAGTTTTAAAGAAAGAAATACTACTGTGAATCAAATGGGAAATTATTTGCCCTAAAGCAGAGACCAGTAATACCAGTGCTAGTTATTGCCCTTCTGTGGTGTCATTTTAATGCAAGGCTCGGAAGGAAGGCGTTCTAAT